GCATCTCATGTTTATGATGTAGCATCTCATGTTCGTTATGTGGCATCTCATGTTTATGATGTAGCATCTCATGTTTTTGATGTAGCATCTCATGTTTTTGATGTAGCATCTCATGTTTGTGACTTACATTACAATCATTACATTGTTAATGATTGTACAGCACCTTGTGAATATATTTCTGTGAAAGGCGCTTTACAAAAAAAACTTTACTTACTTAGCATCTAATGCTTGTTATGTAGCATATCATGATTAACTTAGCATCATTTGACTTAGCATCTCATGATTATAACTTGGTATCTTATCTCGTTTTGCATATCGTTTAGTAGTTTTTATCATCTCTTTAGTAACTTTAAATTATTACATAGCATATTAAAATGATAAGATGACATTTTTTTAATAAGTTCAGCTCAAAAGTTTGACTTACGGCTTATATTAATTTGCCCTTTCAATATTTTGTCCCACCTGACCTTGGCTCCAAAACAGCATGATAAACGACAATTTATTAGCAGATTTTCTTTCCTGAAATCATTATGGTTCACATCATCATATGTAAAATTTATTTTATTAGAGTGTAACAACAACACAGTGATGAAACACTGTCGGATAAGTTCAGTTCACAAAATACCGCATGAAAGATGGCAGAACTTCACTCCTTTGAAGCTTGAAGCTTGGGAAGTCAGTCTCTGCAGGATGCTGTGGTCAATAATACTGTGGCAGAAAAATGGACGGGCTCGCTCCTCTTCGCTGTTTTTAACCGGCTTATCAGGTAAGGTTTCCTCAGCTCTTTGAACTCTCCGGACTCTTCTGGATCTCAAACAAAGTTTAAAGGAGCATAAATAAGAGCTGAATCCCTCCAACGGAGGAACAAGAGCTACAACACAGTCCTGTCCCGACATCACTTCCCCATCTGGGTAAAAATAAATCTGCACTGATGCCAGCCAGATGTAAAGACAACGCTCACAAACGCGTGTTTGTTTTCATCCTTCAGCAGAGGCGTTCACAGCAGGAAGTCCTCCCATCGTGCCCGGGATCGACACACTGAAGCATCACTACAGCAAGACGTAGTTCTCAGCAACTTCCAGTAGATACAGATTAGACAGACCTGATTGGTCTTCAACTTGACGTGTTTCCAAAACAACCATCCTGCAGCGAGAGGGTTAGAGGTAAAAAAAAAAAAAACAAGTTCCCAAAAAATCTTTTCAGGTTGGTCTGATTTAAAATATGACTGGGCTGCAGCTGAGACGAGCAACACAAATAATGAGTTTGGAGCAGAGAGGTACCTGTCTGACTTCACCATCCTGTGGATCTTCCTGTGGTCCGTCACCTCTTCCAGCACATCTGTGAAACCTCGTCCTCTCCTCTGCCAGCCGTGACGCCAAACGGCCAAGAACGAATCATCAAAAAACACTGAAGAAGCAAAAAAACACATCCTCAATAATTCAAGCTTCATGAAGAAATCCAGGAACAAACTGAAACGTCACCACGCTGGTTCTCACCTATCGATTCAACATCATGAGAGAAGGAGGCTTCATGGGGAAGATATTTGTTGTTCTTCAGCTCTCCATCCAGACCAACTATTTGCACCGACCCTGCAGAACAGACGGGTTTAGGATTGTGAAGTCTTCTGAAACATCAGCAAGAAAAAATATGGAAGTAAACTTGTTTTAGGTTTTCAGATTCTTGGATTACTTACTCTCCATGAGCACGAGTAGTGAGGAGTTGTCCATCTGGTAGACCTGAGCCACATCAGGGGAGGGTTTCTCTGTGATCAGACAAAGTAAAATGAGAAAAACAAACCTTTCCTGAGGATTCAGACGGTTTGTAACGACCGCAGGGTGAGCGTACCCAGGCCGCAGTTGAAGAACCAGGACGTGCTGGAGTTCAGGTTGATGTATTCTAAACTGACAGGGACGTCCGGGCTCGACCCCCGCGACACACCGATACACACCATGGGGTACTCCTGCTGGTTCATCATCACCATCTCAAACACCCGCAGAGGGTTGGGTAGGGGGAAGTCAAAATGCTGCAGCACAGGGAGATTTAATCCTTAGTTCAGCCCACTTTTACCCTTAAAGACTCACGTCTCTTTTTAATCCACGTACCTTGATTAGCATGAATTTGTGCATGGGCTCATACCACTGCAGCAGAACCACACTGGAGTCCAGAGCACAGCACAGAAACACACAACCACGCAGAATGTTCCCCCCTGAAACAGAAAATAAACAGAAAATTCACAATTTGGTTCAGTTTGATACTTTAGTCTCAGCATATTTTCGATACAAAAAGAGAAATGTCCATGTTCTTCTTAACTTGTAATTTATTGAAATTAATTCTGAACATTGGTTTAACCTTAAAAGTCCAGTTTTTAAATTAAATTTTGCTGAAACAGCAAGTTTCTCAGTGGATCTGTGCTCCACAATGCAGTCTAGGTGGAGTAGTCGAACACAGATCCACTGAACCTTCAACACAGAGCATCTTCAGAAGACAAGTTGATAAAATAAATGTTAAAAATCTGTATTGTTCCATACATAAGAGTGTTTTGAACATGGAGGTTCTATAGAACAGCTGGAGCTCAGAAACCAGGTGACCGTGTGATCGGCTGGAGAAGCTAACGGCTAACGTTAAACGGTCAAGAGTCTGGATTTCCCATCACTGTACATGTTGACAACAGAGCAGAAAAATGGACTGATGATGTAGAAATCATAAAAACTATTAATAATAGTATTAATCCAATTATTAATATTTTACAGTTT